AACTATGCTAGAGGTGACAAGCATACAGGAGCCCATATTATGTCCCCGGCTGATATTTAGAGCCACTTTCCTAGTCTTGTGTACTTGCAGTATTGTTGCACTAGTAATGTTAGGGGGAGCATTCTATACCAACTAGGGTCAACGGATATATATTGTTGAGTTTAGATTCAAATGACAGGTCGGCACCGCTCAGCACCCATTCAAATATTAAGTTGTCTCTAGTTTCACATCACAAGCATTATATCATACTCGAACATATGAAATATAATGTATTATTATTGAAAGGCCAGCCCCCTTTTCATAGACAATTTGATGGATCGTACTCTGCGCCACTGCAACTTAGGAGAACCTGTCCTCCGTCCGTCCTAGATATCGACTACGAATCGCCTGGCTGATTGTGCTCATGCGACTGGCCATGCCACCGTGCTGAATATTGCTCAAAAGTGCTTCCTCAAGCGCGGACTGCGTGACGCTCGCATCTAAACGCGGTTAGTATGTCATAATGCAGACAGAAGAAAAGCTCACCATCTAGGTCACTGAAACTGCTCCCCATACTAGGCGTCCCGTCACTTGCCTCTCGCCTTAAAGCCATAGATTGTCGTGGACTAAAATGTGCCAATTCCCCTGTCCGTCTAGGACTCAATGGCCCTCCGCTTTGATTCAACCGTCGCCGTCTATCGGATTGTGGATGAGCAACTGGGACTCCAGAGCTGGCAGAGCTTGCGGAAGACTCGGTCGTGACTGAAGTTCTGGAAATCATTTGTGCCGATGGGCGTCGATGTGACTCAGAGGCATCCTCGGCGTTCATTCTTAACGTAGCATTGAGATCCTGCCCAGATGCTTCGTGCGACGCCCTTTCAGGTTCTGGCAGGAAAGCAGGGGACTCGTCGTCATCCTCCTCGTCGTACCTCAGGCCAGCCCTATGTGTGGAGAATTTGCCGAAGGGGGGCTTGAATCTTAGACCACGACGACTTCCAAAGGCGTTGTCGTCGTCGGATTCAGACTCGGATGAACTAGACGTTGTGTCATCTTCCAGAGGGGGAGACTTCGGAGCCGGAGGCGCTGCGGCTTGCTCCCGTTTTCCGGCAGATGGCCGACTGGCATAGCTTTCGCGCCTTGGCTCTCTTGGCTCTGCAACAGGAGTATCGTTACGAACTGGTTCACGAGCAGTCTTGACTTGATTGACGGTAGTTGTTGAGCTGGTACGTCGGGGAATGGGAGCTAGATTGTCGACACGATTAGTACAAGACACACGCATAGAGGCCGGATAACTTGCCACGCTGTGGAAGACTATCTTTCTGCTGTGACGAGAGGCGCGACGGAGCTCGAGGGCCTTTGATTGTCAGAAGTCTCAATGAGTATCATCGGAGAGCACTCACCTGCATTTGTGGCACCTTTTGTCTGTTGACCCAGCGCCGTGCTACCCGACACCGAACCAGGAGCAGGAGATGTAGACGTTGACTGTGTGGTGGGCACTCTACTCATCTGTGCACGTACTTGTGACAGCTGCCGATCGTAGAGCCATGCTGCCTGTTGAAGCAGAAACTGCAATGTCACATCGAAATGATCTGCCCTACAGAGTTGATCAGTTATGCCTCAACACTCGATAAGGCCAATCGTACAGTGCTTTCCCTATGGTATCGTCAGCATTCTGAATCTCACCAGAGGATCATTAGGTAACACTGTTACAGTCTAAATCGTCTCCCTTTGAAGGACGCGAGAGAATATTCCACAGAGCCTGGTCTTTGGCAGCGTTCCATTCCACCTGTCTGGTCAGCGATATGGAGATCAGTTGACTAGCGGCACTTACCGGAGGAGGATCCACAAAGTCACCCCTGGGGAAGGGAAGGCGAATAAACACGGTGAACTTGGTGTCTCCGGACTGATTGAAGGACGTCATCGCGGACTCGTATCTGCGGACGTAAAACTACTTAAAAACCTAGAAAGTACACGTCAACCAGCAAAGAAATAAAACAGATATTCTTTGCTGCTACTTGAAAGCCGGCATAGTGGATACGGGTTGGGTGTGATGAATGCGGAGGATTGACGAGGTGTCACGCCTCCCCCGTCAGGGTCGGTGCGTTGCGATAACAGTTCGGCTTATCGAACTGCAATATGGGCTGGATTCTGCTATTCCCACCCTATTGCCACGGCTCCATCCATATACTCACGTGACACCCGCCTCACAAGGTTGCCTCTTTCCTAGTTGGGAAGAGGCAGCCTTACCGATGGTAACTTGCCCGGTAAGTAAGTACATCTCGAGGCATAACGAGTACTTACTGTTGGAATGTGCAAATCTGGGATTGATTAGGCATGGATGAGTTAGTCGGACATCAGATGATGATCTCTCATCATCTTCCTACCCAGGCGGAAATACATAGCAGCATAGGATGCCTTGAAAATGTGGTTTGACCAACAGAACATGAGCTATACTATGCATGCGCTATTATAATATATCGAGAGCATATTATAGGGGCAGTGTATACCGAAAGCTTCAATAAAAGCAAATTCCCGCCCCACCAGACAGGGTCAAGCTCTTGGCGCAATTTGGCCATGTTAACGTCAGCAAACTAAAATCCAACAGATCCTTGACAGCCTAACAACCCTAGTACGTCAGTGCTTCAGCCTACTGCATACTCCGCAATAGGTAGCCGATGCGTCGTCACTGGCAATGTCCAAGCGTCTTTTGGATGGATGCAGTCTGACAATGCGAACAATGACGCGGTCAGGTTTGCAGCCTACACTACGTGCAAGTCGGAGTTGAATGGATGTATCTGCTTCATAGACCGGCATGATAAAGAACATATAAGGAGGACCGGTGCCCCAATCTCTCGACTCATCTTCATCATATAAAATCGTTTTCTCACCTCTACTGTATCAGTATAGCAACAATGGCTGGTCCTGTCCCAAAACCAGAGTGCCTCCTGGGCTTCCACCAGGTCTTGTCACCCACTGCTGGTATCAAGGTGTCTCCGCTATGCCTGGGCACTATGAACTTTGGAACAACCTGGTCAGTCTATCCTATCGCTTACATTTGAACAAATCACTCACTGACATCTCTTAGGGAGCCATACATGGGCGAATGCAACAAGGACGTTTCCTTCGCAATCTTGGATACCTTTTTCGACCACGGTGGAAATTTTATCGACACGTACGTCCAAAAAGTATCCACTGACTCTATCTACGAGCGACAGGCTTATGCTCCCTAGTGCCAATGTATACCAAGACGGACAATCCGAAACATGGATTGGAGAATGGATGAAGAAGCGTAGGAATCGAGACCAGATGGTGTAAGTACACACCCTCTATTATCCATTGCTGCATTTCAGACCCTGACATTGACAATAACAGCATCGCGACCAAATACACGACTGGCTTTCGCCGCACACACGTCTCCACTGAGCCCATCCAATCGAACTTCGTCGGAAATTCAGTAAAATCCATGAACCTATCCGTCAAAAACAGCCTCGAAAAGCTTCAGACTGACTACATTGACATTCTCTACGTGCATTGGTGGGATTTCACCACCAGCGTGGAGGAAGTCATGCATGGTCTCAACGCGCTCGTCTCGGCCGGAAAGGTCCTCTACTTGGGCGTCTCTGGCACTCCCGCCTGGCTGGTAGTCAAGGCAAATGCCTACGCGCACGCAAACGGACTCAGGCCATTCTCCGTCTACCAGGGCAAGTGGAATGCCGGATTCAGAGATTTAGAAAATGAGATTGTGCCTATGTGTCGCGACCAAGGGATGGCAATCGCACCTTTTGCAGTGCTAGGCCAGGCGAAGTTCAGACCCGCAGAGCAGCGCAACGCGGAGTATAAGGGCTCTGGACGAGCGGCGCTCCGAGCTGAGGAGGATGACAAGGTTTCTGATGTGTTGGAGGCTGTTGCCAAACGGAACGAGACAAGTCTTTATGCCATTGTGAGCTTCACCCTTATACCTACCTTCTGCGCCACGTATAAAAGCCGCCGATCTAATGTTTCCATCTCAGGCTCTCGCATGGGTCCGCTTCAAGGCACCTTACGTCTTCCCCATTATTGGACAACGGAGTGTAGCGCACATAAAAGCCAACATTGAAGCTCTGAGCCTCGATCTCCCGAAGGAGGATATGGATGAGATTGATAAGGCCATTGAGTTCAATCCTGCCTTCCCACTTGACTACCTCCTCGCAGGCAATTTCAGTACTGCGTTCACCGCAGCAGATGTTCAATTGACGCAGTGGACCGCGCATATCGATGCTCCTACTCCTGTGATGCCGGTCAGACCGCGTAAGGATCAGTGAATTGACATGAAGAGTCGTTGTGGGTGCTTCATCCGCTGTTGATGCTATAGGGGGACGATGGAATCGCTGTCCTTATGGAGGCTACAGGAGATGCATGAGCCAAATCTCGGGGGTAGTTAAGCCAACAGAGTTGGATGTTGTCTAGACGATTCCGAGTTCAATCTACATGGTAGCATCTTAGTGCGTATATTTCCCACATCTGAGAAGATACTTTTCATGAAAGGGTGCCTTCTGAGAAAGTGTGGTTCTATGGGTAATCGTATCTGACCGTAGCCTGCGCGCTTGTCCTTTCTCTAGCACCAAGAATATTCAAGTTTCCTGTCAGTTCTTAATCTCTTGCTCCTGTCTTTCCTAGTAAGTGGCACGCTACGAATACCTCCTGCTGTTGACCACCTCAAGATATGATGAAGAAGACACTGATTCTTTTTTATCACGGAATTCTATATGTGGGGTGCGGATGTTTTGGTACACAAAGGGCTGGTTGCACCCAAGATCTCATCCACAATTCACTGTGGAAAATTTGGGCTTTGTCTTTCACTGTTGACAGCTACGCCCAATATAGCAGTCAGAATTCACTGGAAGCCACATGCCCTGGGAAAAGAATTTTCATAGTCAAGCCTTGCCCCCACGAGTTCTTCCTCGCTTCCTTCCTTTCTTTCTCAGACCATTTGGTGTTGGTTTCTGGCAGACTCTACACTCCCTGCCGGCTCAACCGTCGACATGGCTACCGAAGAAGGTGAAAGCGGCCCCAAGCATCTCAATAGCTCTGAGTTGCTCAAGAAGATCGACAAGCTGAGAGAGAAAAACATTGGAAAGCATGTTCCCCTTCCTCAGGTAAGACTTTATAACCAGCAAAAAGCGTCTACAAGTGATACTGATCTTCATCAAGTTGGTTGTTGTTGGAGACCAGAGTTCTGGAAAATCCTCTCTTCTGGCAAGCCTGACCAAGATTCCGTTTCCTCGTGACTTGGAACTTTGCACTCGTTATGCCACGCAGATAACCTCCCGTCGTGAGGACGATCGCTCGGTCGAAATCTCGATAATCCCTGCCGGCGATGCATCCGGGGAGCACAGGGCGAAAGTACAGGGCTTTAAAAGGACCCTCAGAGGCACCGAAGACTTTCGCTCGGAATTCCCAGCAATCCCGAAGGAGGTTCGGATAGTCCAGTTCAACTTACGTTTACTATTCTCTGACAAAAGCTAACATGTTGAACAGGTCGACGAGTGTATGGGCATACGTACTGACCTTTCGTCTAAGGAAGGATCGGTCTTCAGCAAAGATGTGCTCCGGATCGAGCTGTGCGGGCCCGAAGAGGACTACCTGACCGTCATAGATGTGCCGGGAATCTTCAGAGACCCGACGGCTGGCATTACGACTGAGAGTGATATCGAGCTAGTTCGAAACATGGTCAAGAACTATATCAAAGACGCTCGCACCGTGATCTTGGCTGTGCTCCCGAGCAACGTCGATCTTGCTACCCAGGAGATCCTCAAGCTGGCCAAAGATTATGATGGAAATGGAGAGCGTACGCTTGGTGTGCTAACCAAACCGGATCTGGTGATCGAGCAAAGCGCCAAGGCAGCTTTGTGCTCACTGGTCCTGGGGCACAAGAGACCGCTGACACTTGGCTATTACTTGGTTAGAAACCAGGGCGCAGATCAGGACACGTCTTTCAGTGGTGAGGAAGGAGAAAGAATGTTTGACAGCCAGCCTTGGAATACCTTGCCGAGAGACCGTATTGGCATCCAGGCTCTAAGAGAACGGCTGGGAGAACTTCTGAGCGAAGTTACGGAGCGCGAATTCCCTGAACTTCGCAAGGATATCAAAAACCAGATTGATTCGTGCCATCAAGATCTGGTCCGCCTGGGCCCTGCACGCCAAACTGAACAGGAACAGCGTGCGTTCTTGAGTGGTATAGCTCGCCAGTTTCAGAGCCTCGCACAAGCTGCACGTGATGCTCATTATACAGAAAATGAAGCATTTGTAGAGAGTGACCTCCGGCTTATCACTCACATTGTCAATTTTTCTGATAAATTCAGCTCAACTTTCCAGGCTAAAGCGCATCTTTTGCCATTCGACTGCCCTACCTCAGATGCAGTTGACAAGAGACAACCATACAACGACATGAACAACAATCCGCACGGGAAGGGCCGCCATAAAAACTGCCCAAGGGTGAAACCCGACATGCATGCCCATATTCAATTCAATTTAATTCATATTCTTATACCTGATTGAGCCTGCTAAGTAAGATGCTAGCTATGCAGGTGCTTCACTATTTAAAGCAGGAATATGGTCCTGAATACTATTAAATCCCTTAAACTTACAGTAAATACATAAATAATATAATCTGTGATGTAGGAAGATCATTACTACAGTTAAATATAATTAAATATAATAAATACAGAGTAACGCAAAGCAATATAAAGCAAAATCATATAATAAGAATAATAAAAAAATATTATAACTAGCTAGCTAGCTGCCTGTAAATTATTATTCTTTTTTTATTTTTTATCTATATTCTTGCTTCCAATATACCTGTTCTTTCTAATATATATATTCTTTCCTATTAATTTATATAAAATATATATAGAATTTTTTATCTAATATCTTTAATATCTATTCCTATGGCCCGGAGATCTATATATTCCTGGTCTAAGTCAGATTCTAGTTCAGGATTAAGTTTAATCTGACTAAACTATCTAAATAAGTTTATATATAATATAAATTCAGTAATATAGCAGATTACCTATAGATTTAATATAAATAAATCATACTCAGTAATCTTATTCCCCAGATCTGTATGTGTGATAATCTTATTAAATATTTAATTATATAGTCTTGCAAAGCAGGAGCAGATTAAAAAAATATATTTAAAGATTTATAATCTTTTTCTGTAATTATATTAGTCATTTTTCTGTATTTTAATTTTATAAAGAAAGTATATAAAATTAATCCTCTATATATATATCTGTATTATTATAGATATATATACTTTAGATAAATCTTTATAAAGTTTTACTATTTTTTTACTAAAGGTCTTAATTAAGCGCCTGGTAAATATAGTTATATATTTTATTTTCTATTATTTAGCTTATTTATTATTAAACTTATTATAAATAATTTTTTTAATAATAGATATAAGCTAGATTATTTATTATTTTAGTTTAATCTTATATTCTACTGCTTGCTTTATTTCAGAGTCTGTAATCTTATTTTTTTTAACTTCTATATATATAAAGATCTAATAAATTATAAGATTTATATTCTGTAGAACTCTAAATCTATTATAAATAATCTTTATATATAACTATTTAAAAGAACAGCCGGGAATTCCTACTACTTAAATTACAGTCTAATTATCAGTAAAAATATATATACCAGAACTATCTCTCAGCAGAATACCTCCTGTAAAAAAAAAAACTATTTTAATCTCTTTTAATTTAGCTGTATATATACTTAAATCTATTTTAATATCTAGATATGCTCTCTGGGTCTGTCCGGTATAGATACTAATTATAAAAATTTTAATATCTTTATAATAACTGCTGTTATTTATATATAAGATAACTAAAATTAGCTGTATACAGTATATCTAATTATATTTAATAAATATAGTTTTATAAAATTAGATATTATATTAGATATACAGCTCCCAGGAGGCCAGTATAAATACTTTATAAATTTTTTATATTTCTTTTTATTATAAAATAAAAGTAAGGACTATATTTCTTATCTACTTAAAAGTCTTAAGAAGACTTATTTCTTTTAACTTAAATTTTTTTTTATTATACTGGTAGTTCAGATTACAGGATTAGATAATCTCTGATTCTATTTAAATATATAAAATAATTTCTTTAATTATCTGCTATATAAGCCATCTTATAGATAATAAATAAAATTTAATATCAAGTATAGCTGCTGCTATACTTTTAAATACTTTATTAATTAAGATAATTATATATTTTTAAATTCTAGTAAATTTTATCTCTATACAGATCTATTATTTAGTAGAAATCTACTGGCTGGCCAGACTATATTATATAATAATTTTATATAGTAACTATAGAATCATAACTGTATAATAAATTTACTATATAAAAATAATAAAGATATCTTATATAAAGCCTGCAATACTCTAAAGAGTTTTAAGATTTCTACTGGCTTTAGTAACTATTTTAACTCAGTAGATATTAAATAAGAGAGTCTTATTAAATTAGATACTAAGATAATAGACTAATTCAAAGAAATAAATAATAATTAGCTCTAATTCTAAAAAGACAGAAACTATTATTAGCAGGTAGTTATAGCTTTTTTATTTATAGTATTTCTAAATATTAACTGCTTCTAGCAGTTTATCTAATTTATTCAGATCAGGATCAGGAGCGTGAAGGTTTTTAAAATAAATAAATTTAAATTTATTAAATATAAATTTAGAAGTATAGCAGCATGATTATATATTAATTTTAATAAGAACTTATTTTATTAGCTGTTTATTAATAATATAATTTCTAGAAATAATTAAGATTACTATATTATTTATTTAACCAAACACCTGAGACTCTTCTTTAGAGGATTACTTAGAATAATTATAGAATAGAGAAGTATTAAATAACAAGAATAATATAAATAAGATAAATAAGTCTTGCAGAATATTATTTAATATTAATAATAATTTATTTAGATATTTCTGTATCCTGAGCTGAGTTATATAATTATATAAAAATATTATTATTTATAAAATAAAATAACCTAGTTTAGCTTGCTGGAGATTGTATAGAAGATATATATATAATATATAATTATATATTTTTAATATATCTAATAAAAATAAACTTATAATATAATCTCTTTTTTAAATATTATAAATTCTGTTAAGGATTATCTGGATTATATAATTAATTAAAATATTTTTATAGTTTTTTAGATATTTATAGGAAAGTAGACTGTAGTTTTTTATTATTTATATAATATATATAATAATAATTAATTCCAGTATCTTGCCCAGGATATTAAGTAATATTATAAATTTATATAATTTAAATAAATAAAAATCTCAGGAGCCTTTCTTATAAAAAATTATTATAATTAATTTTTAAAAATATTCAGGGTTATATCTGATCTATATATAAATATTAAAAATTATAATAAATATACTGGTAAATATCTTTTTATTTACTAGTATATATTATATATAATTAGAAATAATATTAATACCAGATACCTTGTCTGCTAGAATATATTTAATAATATTTTATATTTTTTAACTTATGATTAAAAAGAATTTAATAATCTTAGACTTTTTAATTATATTAATATTAGATAGATTAGCTTCAAGAAATTCTAGAAAAAAGATATATTAGAAAATCTCAGTCTTTTATTTTATAATCTCTATATTATTAAATAAATTTTATAAAATTAAAATAATATTATTATCTCTGCATCTATTCCAGGCCTAGTAAAAGATTTATTAGATATTATAAAATTCTTTCTTAGTAATTCTATATATAATATTTTAATAGATCCTCTATATTACTTATTTAATAATCTTTATTTTTTTATTTCTTATTATTATATATTTCTTTTATTTTTTATTTATTTATTTCTTTTTATATGTACATCTTATCTTTCTTATTACTTTAATTATATTATAATATTCCAGAATAAAATTAAAATTAATTTACTTACTAGATTTAACCCATGGGATTAACTCTGTAATAATATATTATATTATTTTTATAAAATAATTTATAATAATATTAATCTGAGTAAAAATAAAATTCCTGTCTATATACTGTCACAGCTTTTTTTTTAGATTTATTTTTATAAACTTATATATTTTCTTTATATTTATAATTTTTTAATTTCTTCTTAGAATCAGTCTTATTAATAATATATCTAGGTTGATAATCATGGCTTTTAAGAAATAGTTAGAATTAATATAAATAATTAATATAGTTTTATAGATAATTATATAATTTATAAACTCAGAAATACTAAAAACTAGATTAATAATAATTTATTATTTTATATATTTCTAAGTAATAATATTTAATTTAAGTCAGAGATCTAGATTAATATTATCTATAAGAATTAATAAAAGATTTATTTTAGAATCAGATTCAGCAGCTTTCCTGCTTTATATAAAATAATAAAAATTAAAATTATCTAGTATAAGTTAATCTTTATTTTATAATTAATTCTTATTAAATAATATTAGATTTATTATAATAATCATGATTATCTTACTGTTATTATTATATATATTTAATAAATATAAAATCTAGCCGCAGTTACTACAGAGACAGAGTTTCTATATATTATATAAATATTCTATATATTATTATTTATTTTTATTAATTTTATTAAATATAAATATATATACCCGCGCCCTGCTATTTATAATAATTACTGAATATAATAATTAGTAGCTTTGAGCTGGACTATATATAATATCTAAAAAAGAATTTTTCTAGAATTTTTAAATAATAATAATATCTGCTGCAAGGACTTAGAGATCTTATAGAAAATATATTATTATTTAATTTTTTAATTTATTTACATTATATTAGATGATTTATAGAAGGATTTTATTTATTAAATATAATAAAAGTATTCCTTGAATCATGATATTTTATAGATTATTTATTATTTAAAGAAGTCTTCAGCTGGAGTATTTCCATGCAGTATTATTTTTTTAAATATATTATTATATTAGATTTATAGCTACTGCTGGGTGTTTTATTTAATAATAATATTAATAAAATATATTTTATCTATTTTAATTAAAGCTAGAATATTTATTATAAGATGTTTAGGCTGTTATTATATTATTTTATTACTAGTTATATATTTTTTAGTTATATATTAGAATTCCTGGGGGCCTATATAAAGATTAAAAACTTGAAATTACTAGAAATATTAATATAAAGAATTCTTTTTATATATATAAATATAATACTATTTATTCTTGCAGCTTATATCCTGGTATATTATATAATTAATATAATTTAATTAAATTAGAAATTAAATTATAAGGATACAGGCTCTGTAACTTTTTTTATTATTAAGAATTTTATATTAATATCTATAATTTAAATATCTTTTTTTATATTTTTTCTTTTTTTTCTTTTTTTTTTTTCTTTTTCTCTTCTTCTCCTAATCTTATTTATTATTTTTATTATTTTATATATTTCTACAGGTATTAGATCTGTGTTGTATTTAATTTTCTTAATAAAAAATATAATAATATTTCTAGAATTATTATTCTTAGAAATACTGTTCTGTATTATTAGCTTACTTATTAATATTATTTTTATTAATAAAGAAACTACTCAGAATTAGAAAAAAATAAAATAATATTAACTAGATAGTCTTTTAACTAGTCTAACTAGAATTTACTATATTTTTTTTTTATAAACTAGGCAGTACTTATTTTTTATATAATATATATTTTTATAATTAGTATATCTTGGTTCTTTCAAAATCTTTATTTATTAATATAAATATTTATAAGTCTGGTAGTACTCCGCACAGTATATATAAATAAATTTATTTAAATAGATATTTCTTATGTAGTTATACTATTAATAATTATAATATTAATATATTTATATTATTTAATTATATCTAATCATGATCAGGAATTCTGAATCTTATAGAATCCTGTATTTAATTACTATGTTTATAATAATTAAAAAGATGAATTTAATAACTAGAATTAATAATTTCTTTTTCTGAGGGTTTTAGAGAGAAGCTATTAATTAATTTATATATAAGATTTAGATCTTATTATTCTAGTGGAATATGTTATTTATTAATAAAATCTTAATAATATTCTTTAACTATATTATATTTATTAATTTAATTTATATATTATAAATTATTATATTCTAGATTAGAGTACAGATAACTATATTTTTTTAAAATTTATAAGCTTATATAAAATATAAGCAGGCAGTCTCTGCTTTTATAATAAAATAAAAATTAAGATTTAAATTATCTAACTTAAGCTGCTGTGCTATAATAAATTTTATAATAATTAAAAAAGAAAAAATCTTAATCTAGCAGATCTAGATATATATCTTTTTAGTCTTTATAAAAATATTTTTTAAGAGTATCTGGTGATATCTGGTTATATTATTTAAATTATTAAATTTTATAATAATCTGAGTCTTTTCTATCAATTTTAAAGATAATATATTTATTAATATAGATTTTAATTATATTAAGACAACCGGCGGCGCACTCCCTTAAATAGTAATATTAATTTAATTATAGATATTAGTAAAAAGAAAGAAAATTAATAGATTTTTTGATATAATCTTTAATAAGTAGAGATATTTTTTCATGTTTTAATATAGTACTTTGATTTTTATATAAAAAATCTTATATTTTTATTATTAGAATTATTCTAAAAGATTCTTCAGAAGGTTAACTAGGAATTTTTATATATTCTTAATATAATTAATAATTAGTTTTAATATTTAAGAGTTTTTACTTTCTTCCAGATACTTTAATAATATATTTATATTATATTATAGATTCAAAGCATATTCCTAGAAGTGTTCTAATTTTCTCGTGGATATAGTTAAATTAGGCTAGTTAATTATCTTTAATACTATTATCAAGATAACTAATTAATATTAATATCAATCAATAGTGACGAGAGTAACAAGAAACTTATCAAAAGATGAGGTCTGTAGGGCCCTGGATGGCGGCGTGATTTCAAAAATTTGATTCCTGCGCAAGTTGTTGTTCCATGCATGCCCATATGGCAGCCGGGGATCGCTTTTCTCTGGCTCAGCATGTAAACGAAAGCCGTGAAGGCCTTGATCCTAACAACTTCCCTGAGTTAGAGCAGATTGTCAGCCGCGTGAAGGGCACCCAGGATCCCGAAGGGGATATCAAAGCCTGGATTGAAAAGTTATATGCGGAGTCTCGAGGTCTTGATCTCGGGACCTTTGGAAACAATATTCTCTGCAATGCTTTCAAGGAGCAGACCGGCAAATGGGAAACCATGACCCGCGGACACGTGAGTAATGTCATCATGGTAGTTCACCGTTTTTTGAGTACGGCATTGGGAAAGATTTGCGGGAGCAAACAGCTCTATCACAAGATTTGGTCCAGCATTCTCGATGACCTTCTACAAAGCTATAAGAATGCCATGTCCCAGGCGATGTTCCTTCTGTCCGTTGAGAGAAACCGCCGACCATATACGCTAAACAATTATTTCAACCATACCCTCCAGAAACTGCGCAGTGCCCGTGTTGCTCAGGCATTAGAGGACAATGCCAGAAATATAAATGATACTTGGTCAAACGCAGAAATAAAGGTGGTCGATCTAGATGCTGTCAAGAAGTCTGCGAGCGACCAGGGGAATGTGGAACATATCACAGGGGAAATCCATGACATCCTGTGGTCCTACTATCAAGTCGCACGCGAAAGATTTGTGGATAATGTTCACATGCAGGCAATCGAGCATTGTCTCCTGACTGGTCCTGAGAGCCCCCTCGAAGTCTTTAGCCAGGAATGGGTCATCAATCTGGGGTCGGATGAGCTGGGAGCAATCGCCGGTGAATCGCAAGCGATTAAAGCGCGGCGTGCCAACCTGAAGCAAAAGATGGAGGATTTGAAGTCTGCTCTCCAGACCTTGAAGTTTTGAAATTGTGATGTTTTGATATTTTGATGTTCTTTCATGCTAACAATTCTGTTCCTATGTGAACTACCATGCAGTAATAGTAATAATACTCACAACAATATGAATTGACAATGTTATTCTGACCTAGTGATGCACAACATAGAAAGGGGAGACTTGTATGCGGATGGATGAAAGAGGAATGAACCGAGAACCGGGGATGGTGCGTCATAAGCCGAAGGCGGTGTAATGCCCCTCCCGGTGAGAAGGAAAAGTGGAAGTTCACCACCAACATTCCACCAGACCATCTGAACCAAACTATCTATCTGCAGAAAGCCAAATCTGTAGATTGCTGTGGTCATTGTGAAATAGCCAGCAGTGCGTGCTAACCAGTTGGGAAAAAGCTAATCCCTCAGCTCACAGGTGGCGGGCTGGAATCTACCAGTCGCGATACTTATCGCACCCCGTGCTCCGAACTACCCGGCATATGTCAGAATACACCAAAACACCAAGACTTCGATCTTTCTCCTGAATTCCCTCCCGCTCTCTGTTGTCGATCGCCTGTCCTCTGGCTGCAATAAGCAGATTGCTTTTGCAGAGCTGTCGTGGTTCCCAGATCCTCTCCGTCGCTCACCTGTCCGCACCGACCTTCGTCTTATCCCCGCCTTTGCCTGCACTGATGCAGTAGAACTCTTTGAACGCATTGATAGATATAAATCTGCTGGATATACATACATCTCAGTCGCATAACAGTGAACAATTGCTATACCTTTCAGTATGACGTCCGCTCCGACGCCAGAGATGACGCCCGCCGAGGCCGAGTCGGTCTACTTCAACAACTACCCCCCGCCCAAAGCCCTCCCGAAGCATGAAGCCCTCGCTCGAGCCTTTGTCGATTACCACGCCCAAGCGAACCGACGCCTTGTCCTGGTGACATCCGGGGGCACCACCGTTCCTCTTGGTTCGTGGGATGGCTCGTGCACGTGAGAAAGATTCTGACCGTTGTACAGAGAACCAGACTGTTCGCTTCATTGACAACTTCAGCGCGGGCACGCGAGGTGCTGTGTCGGCAGAATACTTTCTCCAGGAGGGATATGCAGTGATTTTCCTGCATCGGCAATTCAGTCTGTTGCCATACTCGCGGCATTACAGCCACTCGACCAATTGCTTTCTGGATTTCATGGATGAGGAGGAACCGGTGCCTGATGCCACAGAAACCAATGAGTCGGATCACCGACCGATTAAGGTGCGCAGTGAGTACCAGGACCAAATGCGCGATGTCTTGCGAAAGTATCGTTATGCGAAGCGGAACAACCTCCTGCTCCTACTTCCGTTCACCACCGTCTCGGAGTACCTCTTCGAACTACGGTCGCTGGCTCAGCTCATGAAGCCATTGGGTCCCAACGCTCTGTTCTACCTGGCTGCTGCCGTCAGCGATTTCTTTATCCCCAGCGACCGCATGTCTGAGCACAAGATTCAGTCGTCGGAGCTGCCGGACCACTTGACCAAGGACCAGGCAGTTGGCTCGTCGGACATTTACACGGGCGGGATTGAGCCGCAACCGTCGTCTCATAGTAAGAAATTGATTATCGATCTGGACCCTGTCCCGAAGTTCTTACATCGGTTGGTGAATGGGTGGGCGCCGGATGGCAGTATGATTGTGTCGTTCAAACTTGAAACGGACCCCAACCTGCTCGTATACAAGGCGCAGACGGCACTCCAGCGGTATGCGCACCACCTGGTGATTGGTAACCTGTTGACCACGCGCAAATGGGAGGTGGTGTTCGTGACCCCGGACCCCCCGCACGAGCGCTGGATCCGGGTGCCGAAGTCGCGGCGCAGCAAGAGCATTTCTGGCAGTGAGGCGCAGGTTGGTTTGGCCGAAGCCAAGCGGGCGGGCGAATCCACCCAGGCAGAAACCGGTGGGGGCGGGCAGAGTCAGAGACCGTTGGAAGACGAGGCCATCATCTCGGCTGAGGGAGTGGAGATCGAAAGTTTGATCATCCCTGAGTTGGTCAAGTTGCATTCGACCAAAATTGCTCAACACAATGCCAAGTCCTAGACATGGATTTTGGGTCGAGACATCCAAAGTGTGGCGTGCGAGAGGAAGGAGTTTCAAGTGTGCGTTTCTGGAAGCATGACGAATGCAGCTAAACCTGAGGCAGGAGGGTCTTCTCCAGATAGATTAATTAGGGTCCTTCACTCGTTTTTACTGTGTAAGCCGGAAGTTTTCTGTAGAGTTAGTTAGCGTAGGAGATGAATTAACTACCGTGTCTCAACCACCATGCTCAAGATGTAACAGTAATTAGTGCTGCTGTCAGATTTAAACAATCAATCCGTCCAAAGGGGCCAAATGCCGGGTTTGATGTGAACCAAACACACCCACACACATTCCGCCCCTCCCCTTCTTTTCTCGTGTCTCCCTCATCCATTGTGGGAATCTCCTATGTTCATCCCTCTTCCTCCCCTCTCCTTCCCCCCCTTAACGCCAGAAACAGCATTATGATGTGATTGATCGACTGAGAGTTTGATTTTGATCCTCTCACCAAAGATGGAGCAACCTCGGAAGTTCTTCAACTTCTGACAGCTTCACCGGTTTGACGGGTCTCGTCAGGGGCGGGTTTCAGGTTTGCAGCTCCTCAGCAATCCATGGTTAGGCGCCGCGAAGACCCCCAAGCTAAGCGATGGATCAAGCTCCATTCTCCAGTCAGACGGTGCCATTCCGATGCTAACGCGTCATCGATAGCTTAGGAGCCCTCCAGATCGCCGGCCAGCGTGGGCCGATCTTCGCCCGTCTACGTGCCTTCCTACGTCGCCATCTCCACGCCCTTCTTGTCTCTCCGAACAATAATAATAACCATAACGTGCCTGGTGTCGATCTCGGGGATTTGCTTCCTCGATCTTTTTCCCCTGTTGCTCTTTACTCTTCCTCCTCCTCCTCCTTTCTCTCCTGCTCCTCCCTCTCCCCTCCACCGCTAGGGGACCCCGATCCCTTTGTCTCAGCCTCCTCCGTTCCTGCTTCTCCCCAGGAATTTCCCCGCCGGCAAATAACGACCGACTGCTCTTCTCCCGAAATATTCTGCATTTTTGGCGCACAGTGACGACGAAAGATGCATTGACACCTTGTATCAGTCTGGAGGATTGCTCAATAATAATTTTTCTTTTGTTTGTTTCAAGACTCTATTGCATTCAGCGTCTCGATCCCGCTCCGCTGCAGGTCGGCGACCGCTTCCATCCCAGGCTTTCCAAATTTCCCCTCACCGCGCGCATTTTCAAACAAAAATGGCAATCCGTCGATTTCGTCGCATCACCATCCTCGCCTCCCTCCTGGGTGTATTCCTTCTCTACCACTTTCTCTCCATCCGCCCGGAGCTCTACATTCGCAGCGCTACCCAGCTCCGCACTCCGCAGACCACCCCGCAGAGCGCTCCAAATGAGCCTCCCGAATGCCCCCCTCTCGAGGGGATCGAAGATGTCCTGGTGGTCATGAAGACAGGTGTCACCGAAGCCCTCGACAAGGTCCCGGTTCACTTCCAGACAACTCTGCGCTGCGTCCCGAACTACATCATCTTCTCGGATTTCGAAGAAGAAATTGAAGGCGTCAAAATCCATGACGCTCTCCGCACTATGGACAGCACTGTCCGAGACACCGTTGCCGACTTCGATCTCTACAACCGTCTCCGTGAACAAGGTCGCGCCGGTCTTGAATCGGCCGACTTCGCTGATGAGGCCAACTCTAACATCGGCAAGCCCAACAATCCGGGCTGGAAGCTCGACAAATGGAAATTCCTTCCCATGGTGCAACAGGCCCTCACCTACAAGAATAACGCCAAATGGTATGTCTTCATGGAGGCAGATACCTATTTCTCGTGGCCGACACTCCTCGAATGGCTCTCGCATTTCGATCCTAAAGAACCCCACTACATCGGCACTGAGACCCAGATCGCAGACGTCATCTTTGCGCATGGCGGATCCGGCTTCGTTGTCTCCAACCCCGCTATGCAACTCGCCTCGAACGAGTACGCGACCCGCACCGTAGAACTGAACGAGTACACCGACTGGCACTGGGCTGGCGACTGTGTCCTAGGCAAGGTTCTCGCTGACGCCGGTGTCACCCTGCGCTACTCATGGCCTATCCTGCAGAACTCCAACGTCGGAGAATTGGACGAGTTCGCCAAGGGATTCTACCGCAAGCCATGGTGCTTCCCCGCAGTAGCATTCCACCACCTGACATCTCATGAGATCCAGGATCTCTACGAGTTCGAGAAACGCCGACGTCGACAGGTAAGCCCATCCCCCATACTCCCGTAACCAGCATACCCCCGCTAACACACAACCCCTCCACATCCAGGCCACCAGCAACATCCTCCTCCACCGCGATGTCTTTAAAGAACTCATCTACCCTGAACTCTCCAACGTCCGCGACAGCTGGGACAACCTCTCCGACGAGGAACACCCCAAAATCACCGACTTCCACGAATGCAAAACCCTCTGCTCTAGCTCCCGAAGCTGCGCGCAGTTCGTCATGCGCGACGGCGTCTGCTTCACGGGCGAAACGCCCCGACTGGGAGTCAGGAACCCGACAGCCCGATCTGGCTGGATCCTCAGCACGGTCGACCATATGATGGACAACGCGCCGCGCTGTCCTCATCCTGACTTTGGACTCTGAGCGTGTTTCCCCCTTCTTGAAATTCGCGGGACGAATTATCCCTTTACCATTATCTTTTCTTCTTCCTCAAAGAACCAAAACACACTCAACAATCAGAATTATGATTCATGTGTGTTGTATAACCATGGGCTTGCTTGATTTGATTGATTGATCGAGTTGCTACTAGCCTAGTAGCATGCATCATTAACTGCATCGCATCGGCATACGTATATGTATATGTATACGCGATGCTGAAATGGCGTTTGGGAGAGGAGTCGGTGGCTTTTTCTATTCCACTCTTGTCTTATCTTGAGCATCTGCTTTTCTTCCCTGCATCAATACCACGGCGTCTGGGACTGTCGGTACTTTCGTTTCTATTTTTCTGTACTTTACTTGACTTGACTTGTGTGTCTGCGTTCAAAGCCAGCATGGAAGCTAGCGTATATATATGCTAGCTTGTCACAGGTGTTTAGCTAGACCGAATCGGAAAGATTATGAGATTAAAGCTAGTTGTGGCTCGTAGATGTCAAAGTATGGGTTTGGCAGAGTAGCTACACGCTTTGAAGATTTACTGGATTGAAGGCACTCTTGTGGATTCGAGCTGGCTACTTTTATACAACCGTATTTACAGCAGAATAACAGCAATAATAACCTCTCATAGTGATGCCTAAGACAATGGATTTGTTACAAAGCAGGGGAGCCAATAACTAGAGGACAGAACCTAGGAAGAGAAAGGCACGGACACGTGAGTCAAGGGGCCGTGATGTTTAGAGGGGGAGCTTGTGGGTCTTCAAGGCATTGGTCAATGCGCATAATCGTCGCGTTCATGCTCTTCACAAATCGAATGACCTCACGGAAATACTGCACCGTGGTCGGACTGAGGAAATGCATAACAGCTAGATTGCCCCCGCGTCTCACGTCTCGGATGAAGGCCTCGCGCTGCTTTTCGGGGGTTTTGGTATCCGCCCACAGCCAATCCTCAATATCCACACTCCAATTGATGATCTGAGGATCCTTGATATATTTTGCGAGCCGTTGACGGGTTCTCGCACCGAGTGTGCCGAAGGGAGGACGGAAATAGCGACCTGTCAATAATCAGCGAAGCTCTGCAATGATAAACATGATTCGCGTACTCTCAATCCCAAGGATCTGTCGAAACGACTTGATATTGTCCACAATATCCCGGTCAATGGCTTCAACAGAATCCAACCCTTCCAATCTGTAATTACTCATCGTCAGTTTCCAATTGAAGCCAGATGATAGAGGACCACTCACTTCCGATGCGTATCCGAATGTAGAGCCACCTGATGTCCTCGCTTCAACATCTCTCCGTAAACACTCGAGAAGTTGGTGTCCAAATCTCTCAGTCCCAGTCCTACCACGAAGAATGTGACCAAAATATTCTCCTCCTCGAGTATCTTCATCACCTCCTGAGCGAACCTCGGTTGCCCATCATCTATTCCAAACGCAAACGACCCGGGTCGGGAGCATCTCAGTAGCACACGACCATTGTCCTCGCGACGTGGGATCGGGAACCCAGCGGGTACACTACCGGCATTGACAATTTCAACCTTGTAGAGAGTAACCGCTCCAGGTGAGAAAAAGCCGTTGAAGGAAACCGACACGGTTCGGGAGTGATCAATGTAGAAATGCCAGAGAGGAATGTATATGTCGTTGCCGCGTGCATATCTGGCAGCCTCGACAGAGTCCCAGGTTTCAGGAAACGGGCTGCGGGTGGAGTCGCAATGGATGTTATTTTGGGTGAGAGAAACGCTGAAGTTGGTATGACCGGTAAACTGAACGTGTAAGTAGTGGGTTGTCCGGTAAGGTAGCAGGTTGAAGCATGTTGCTGGTGAGAGCTGCGTATTGTAGTTATGGTCGGGATCTGTTGGGTAGAAGCGGACATAGTTGTGGCCGTAGTCGATCTTGAGTCCCTCTAAGCCACCGTGCCAGAAGCCTAGGGTGTTGTGATGTGAGTTATTGAAGGTATCAATAATTATAGGGGCGGTGAGATTGTAGGAAGTGCCGGTGGTGTTGCTGCTAGTTGTGTTGCTCGGAAAGAACACACGAGTAGCAGCTGAGGTGGCGAAGGTTATAAGTATAAGGAGGATGACGGACTGCTTGCAGGTCACCATGGTTGCGCACAATCTTGAGTATAGCCCACAGCTATTAGTATTTTTAGTGTAGGTTCAGCGTTGCTGAATCTCCAGGGCATGTGCCACCTAAGTCTACGTGAGAGAGAGAAGTTATTTACCGGTTGGCTGCATACTACCCGAGGAAAGAGCATGTTGGTGCACCCGAAGGAAAGCGCATATCTAGGAACTCTAGCTCGCTGAAGCAAGTAAAGACTTTTAGTAGATCGATTACCATTATGTTAAGTCTCCATACAGCAGGGAAACGGCATTGCTTGCCACGATCCCACCCTGCCTCCCAACATGACCCGCAGTTGGTAGGATCCATCAGGTAGCCCAGATCCATTGTGTCCTTTCTCAGCGACAATCAGTTCCAAGCTCCTGTGAGATCCCAAGGCGGGAGATAGGCTGCAAATCGTCTCTGTGCCATGGAGTCGAACAATTGCACACCAGATCCTGTCTGGTG